CTTTGCTAAAATGTTTAAATCATCTTCTGAACAAAATTAATTTGTGTCGTCTGCAAACAACACCAATTGCAATAATGTTGACGTTTCACATATATCATTGATGTACAAAATAAAAAGTTTAGGCCCTAAAACCGAGCCCTGCGGGACACCACATTCTATGTTCATACACTCCGATGTACTACCAGCAAATTCTACATATTGTTGTCTGTTATCTAAATAACTTTTTAACCAATCTAGAACTACTCCTATCACTCCGTATCTATGTAATTTTGAAATTAGGTAATGGTCTATGGTGTCAAATGCCTTTTTTAAGTCAATAAATACACCTATTGTGTATTTCTTTCTTTCTATAGCTGTCGTAATTTCTTCTGTTATTTTCATTAAAGCAAAAGCTGTAGATCAATTTTGACTAAATCCATACTGACTCTCACTCAATAACTCATTTTTTCAATCAAATTATCACATTTTTGGACAAACAATTTCTCAAGGACCTTTGAAAATTGTGAAAGCAAGGACACTGGTTTGTAGTTAGTAAATTGGCTTTTGTCCCCTGTTTTAAAAAGTGGGCTAACTTTAGCTATTTTCATGCCATCTGGAAAAATACCTGTCTGAAATGAAAGATTAAAGATGTAGCTTAGCGGTTTAATTATAGTCGTTTTCACTATTGTCATGTCGATCCCATCACTATTAGTCGAAGTCTTATTTTTGCATTTGTCTACAATGGATCTAATTTAAATTGCGTTTATCTCTCCCAGAAACAATGACTGCAACACTTTACTTCCCCCAATTCCGCCATCCTCTTTTTGCCCATCGTGTTGTTTTGGAATAGTCTTTGCAAGATTAGGTCCGACATTTACAAAAAAATAGTTAAATTCATTGTCATCAATGAAGTGACTGGGCAAGCCAGTGGATACAGATTTATTTCCAATAACATTATTTAAGATGTTCCATGTGCCCTTGATATCATTTTTCTTTTCTTTTAACATATTATTATAATATTCTCTTTTTGCTTGTCTCATTATAACTGTCAACTTATTTTTATATGCCTTGTATTGCTTTTCAACTGCCTTTGTCCTTAATGTTATGAAGTCTTTATAAAGGTTATTTTTCTTCTTGCAAGCATTTTGTAAGCTCTTGGTTATCCAAGGCTTTTGATAATAAGTACCTTTATATGTACGGAGTACAGTGGGACAATGTTTGTCATACAGTGATATGTAAATGACTTCATGCAAGCGGCATTGTTGCTTTGTTTTGTTTCCACCCTTGGAAAATGTACTATGTATTGTACTATACTGCTGCAAAGTCCTGCGATACACCACTATTGTATTTGAAGAACAGGCAGTTAGTCTCCTGGGTCACTCCTGAAGAAATTATACCCGCAGCTTCACTCGGACATCGAGGTTTGTTTAGCTTTCGCTCCGTTTGTGTGAGCATTTTATGAGAACAGTGATTTGGAAGGAAGCATGAATGACTCTTGAGTGAGCGTGGGGGCTCTCGCACGCCCGTACGAGTGTGTGTGTGCGTGCACGTGTGTGTGTCATCTCCAGCTGAGTAGCAGGATGCAGACAACCAGGAAGAGATAAGCGCGGGTGAATGGAGGGAGCTCTGTGTGTGTGTGTGTGTGTGTGTGTGTGTGTGTGTGTGTGTGTGTGTGTGTGTGTGTGTGTGTGTGTGTGTGTGTGTGTGTGTGTGTGTGTGTGTGTGTGTGTGTGTGTGTATTGAGTTTGTGCGTCTGTATGCATGTGTGTGTGTTCGCGTAGGGAAATCACTTCACAAAGGCCTGGAAGTGTGTGTTCTCCTGTCTACCAGTGCGGGACTCGGAGGAGATAAGCAGACAGCCAAATATTCCCCTTGTGTTTTCCCAGCAAAAACAGGAGGCGGAATACCAACCACTCAGACCGATGCCACAAGGTCAGGCCTGGAATAAGCCGCTTCCACTTCTTACAAGCTGCACACACACATAATCACACCGACACCAACATACACACTCAACACAACATGGGTCCGAGCTAAGGGGGTATCAAACAATCGTCTTTATTATCAATTAATCTGTTGATTTGTTTCCCAATTTATGGATGTGCATGTGCAAAAGCATACTGTAAACTTACTGTAAACATGCACATGTGTAGACTCACACTAGTGCAATTATGTCTCTATGTATGTACTGTAGATGTGTGAGGTTTATTTGCAAATATGTATGTTTGTATATGTAGATATTGAGAGGACACATTTCTTCCTCTTGTGTAGGCAGTGGGAATGTGGTTCTGTAAAAGATATTTTTACTACAATGATATTAAATTGAGAAAAAAAACAATGTATGTGATATGTGAATATAGAATCAGTGACTCTTGAATTTCTATTTCTACATTTTGCAATATATTCATAAGCAAAAAGAATTTCCTCATTGAAAGACTTTGCATTATATCAAGAGAGTGTGAGAAAAGCATGACGGTGTATAAGGTGTAAAAGATGAAGAAGAAGTGAATGTTAGGTCAATCCTAAAAGTCCAATAAACCGCTCCTGTACTCATACTGAACACAGACTGTAAATTAGAGATGGCATGAATGCGTAAACGTTCATGAAAGGATGCAAACAGATGTAGATTTTATGTAGTTGGTGTTTTCATGTAAAGATATGCTGAATGTGAAACTGTTTCAACTTTGGCAAAACATTTAAGGCTATCCTGAGGTGTATGGCTAATGATTCATCTGAAGGGACAGGAGCAAAATGTGGAGTTTTTTAATACAAGTTTTGAATTCTTCACACATACAAGTGAATTACATACAAAAATGTCCATTCTGACCCTTGGTTGCACTTGAGCAGTCTATTTGGCATGAATAAAGCAAGGTTAACATTTGATTTGCTGTTAATCTTAACACAACATGCATACCATGTTAATCTGATGTTCCCAGTCCAAGTCTAGACAGGGACATTTGCCGCATAATGCCCCTAGCCTATCTTTCTCATGCCATTGGTTGCGCTGAATTTCATGTATCCTATGAAAGTGAAAAAAAGGCCATCAAAATAAGTAAAAAATGTAAAGATTTGGTAAAACATGTCACAAGATTTCATAGAAAGAAACAGAAATGGAGAGGTTTAGAGGAAACCAGATACCCGTGTGGTCAGTTGCTGTGAGAAATCTAAGCATGAAAGTATGAAAACATTCTTTATGTACACTGATATTTCCAGCAAATAAAAACACTACCTGGGTTTTCCACCTCAGTTATTTTAACCTACAAGAGCCGCAGTTACTCAAACATATGATATGTAGACTGACTGTCTCCCTGTAACCTGCCGGGCTGCAATCCAAACACACGGTCAGGACTCCGCCGCATAACTAAAACCCACAAGTCATGGGATTCCAGTATCAACATAAAAGCGCACACATACACAAACACACACACACACACACACTGGCCAGTGTCCAGGGTTTCAGTTTGTGTATTTGGTATGTCAGGAATGTGTGTTGGTCGGCGTGTAAACGCAGTGTTCTAGTTTGAGTTCTTATCAGTCCAATATGTCATCACAGACAACATTAGCACTTTAAAAAAGCCATTGAAACACATCTGCACACACACACACACACACACACACACACACACACACACACACACACACACACACACACACACACACACACACACACACACACACACACACACACACACACAGTCAGACGGCTGTAACTAAAGCAAGCATGTTAACCATGAAGATGCAACACCGTCTCTCACATCTCCCTTACAACAAGAGAGGAGACGCTCCGATTTCTAACTGCACAAAGGGAATGATGCTGATGCTGTTAGAGGATTCTCGTGCAACAATCATTTATAGTGGCCATTGAGCTTTTCTACATAGTGTGAGTGGTGACAGTCAGATAGTGTTAGAAAGGTGATCGACACATCTCTAAAAACATAAACACACAAAAACATGAAGGGCAAGGTGTTCAAGGTCCTTGTCTTTTTTGGATCATTATATTTTAACATCTGCAATATGCTTCATTGTTATGACTATAACAATGTTAGGTAGTGTTATATGATGAGTATTGTAGGATATTTAGCTTAGTGAAAATGTGTTTAAAATCATGTACAGATCTATAACATTTTGAAAAACATGGACTGGACCCCGACAAAAACTGAACATGAAGGACATAAATGATAACGTTAGAGAAAGATGAAGAGACAGACATCTTAGTTTAAGAAAGGGAGTGCTAGAAGTCCTAAGTGAATCCCCAGCTTTGTGTTATCAAATTAGTTCATTTGGGTAAAGCCAACACACACACACACACACACACACACACACACACACACACACACACACACACACACACACACACACACACACACACACAAATAAAATATCTATAATCTGCTGCAGAAAACTTATATTTAATGTGTGAACTCTTACATAATTGAAAAAAGTAATTAATGATCACTGTGAATGGATGCTCCTTCTTTCACGACACAAACACACGAGACTAAAACACACTCTCGTTCCGGGACTCTGTCATTAAAGGTCAAACACAAATTGTGTTTGTATCTGTTCGTTCACAGAAAAACATATCGAGCGTGCATCAGCGCTGTTTTGGTGTAGTTGGGTCCAGCTGTTTCTCATCTGATGGTTGATGTAACATCTGGAGTCATGCACAAACACACACAAACTCGTGCAGAGAATTGGTATATGCAAAGACATTTCGGTCAGAAATGGAATGCTGCCTACAGGTGATGCATGCGCATTTCAGGTGTACACGAGCTCATAGCGGGACAGTCACCGGACTGCACGTGGCACCACCAAGGGATCATAACGGTCGGTTATGAATCGTGGGAAAATGGGGACATTTGGAGCAATTCACACACACATTTACATGCACACAAACTAGTTGTCATTGCTTAAACGCGCGTGAGAGAGAATGGATCACAGCGACCAGGCGCGTAAAAGTACTTATTAGGTTATTAACCGATCATCCTAAAAAAAACTAAAAACTGAGTAATTGCAGGACTTACCAGCTTTGCATGGGTCTTTGTAGTCAATGGTCTCTGCTCTCTCCTCTTCGTAATAATCATAGTCTGGCTCCTCGTAGTCGAAACAGTTACAGATCGTCACTTTGCCCCAGAAAGTCAAGCCGGCAAGCACCAGCGTGATCCAGCGCATTTTAGCTGCCAGTGCCGAGGGCACACGGTCCATCTGAAGACTGAAAGAATTAAAAAAGGCCTCTCTGCTTGTCTCCTCCGCTGTTAGGAGATGGTCAATCCACTCTCCAAAGAAAGCATCGGCGGCAGGAATTTAACGGGTCATTGTGAAGCGGCTCTCCTCTCTGACAGCCTGGCTGAGGGTGATGTGGGCTGCTGGAAGTTACTTTGCCCGGCTCTCCTCCATGGTGAAGGTTCACTGAGGTGTCCGTCTGTCCGTCCCGGTGTCAGTCAGCAACGTGTCCGCCGAGGAACTCTGCTGTCCTCCGCTGTGGCTTCGCAGGTGAGGCTGCTGTGGGGGAAACGAGAGAAGGACGCGGTGAGTGGACCGTGACTGGATGATCTGTGAGCGCAAAGTGTGTGTGCTGCTCACAAGAAACAACCGCCTCGCATATTCCCAACCAGCACTGACTGACTGTCTCAGCGCAGGGCAACCTCTTTCTCTCTCCCTTTCCCTCTCTCTCCCTCCCGTGTCCGGTATACTATCTCTCTCAAGAGTCAGCTCACCGCCTACACACACACACACACACACACACACGCACACACACTCACACACACACACACACACCACACACACACACACACACACACACACACACACACACACACACACACACACACACACACCACACACACACACACACACACCACACACACACACACACACACACACACACACACAGCCAAATACTTGCACTGTTCGACCTAAGTGATGCAGAACCAACACTTTCTTTGTTCCTGATTGTCTCTATTCACTGAGCATTTGCTGCCGTTTCATTTGCACTCACTCTCTCACTCACACTCACACACACACACACACACACACACACACACACACACACACACACACACACACACACACACACACACACACACACACACACACACACACACACACTCAGCAGCAAAAGCGCATGCATTCGGATTAACCACTGTAATGAATAAACTTCAGGAGCTCCTTCCTCATCTCGCGCGCACTGATCTTCACATGTTATTGGACCTTCACTCACACGGGTCCGTTAGACAGTGGACGTACAGTAAGAACCGGTAGCTGTCAAATTAACAAGGCGGCTAGAAAATGGCCTGTGGTCATTAGTATCTATCACCCCTTATACCCGGTCCATAATGGGTGTTATTTGGTGATTAAGAGGCAGGTGCCAAGTAGGTGGCAGCCTAACCATAAATTCCCAGAGGTAGAGGGGTAGGGCTCCTTTACTGCTCTTATACTTCCTCTCGCCCCTAATGTATGTCCTTGAAATGTTAAATGGAAAAAGATCAAGGGTTAGATTATTAATCAATTGCAATTAAGCTACATTTAAACTTGTGCGTAAAAATACGCACACCCAAGCATGTCGAGGCTATCTTTCTGGCATTATAGTATGGTATAGTATAGTATGTGTTTTCAGCATTATATGGTGCTAAAGAAACAGAGCCTTTGACATTCAGAGGGTGATTATTATGAACCAGAACACTAGCCTGAGTGTTTTGAGTGTTTCTACATCACAAAAGTAAACCTTATGAACCTTGAAATCCACACTTATTGACGATTTTACTTTTTACTTCAAATTGTTTATTTTGCACGTGTTTGGTTTATCTTTAAACTCAGTTTCTGATGCACTATCAGCTACATCAGTTTGACAGGCAGCTGTGATGTCTCCTCTAATCTGTCATAAACACTAACCTTGCCAGCAGTCGGTTCGTCAACAACAGATGAACCGAGTTCAAGTGGGTCCACGATCCTCCCCTGCATCACTGGTACCCAAAGGTACGCTGAATTAACCACTACTCTCAGTATGTGTTTATGTGTGTGACACCAAAGACGCTTTAAAAATGGAGAATAGAACATTAACCACCAGTTAAATCTCGCCTCTTTTCACTTTAATGTTGCACGGAATGTAGAAAGTTGTCAACAACCAGCCCATAATCTCCCAACCTCCACGCACACACACGGCAGACAGTAAATAACAGTTGTTGGTTGTTGACAGACAGTGCAGCCTGTGGACACCCTGCCAAGGTAAATCCTCCTGAGACGAGTTCACCCTGCGTCTCCACAGCTTACCTGCTGCGTTTACCTGCCCGGGGCGCGTCGGTTTGCTGCGGCGTCACGAAGCGACCCCTCATGCTTCAAATGCAGGAGTCAGACCCCAGGAGTCTCAGGGGGCCTCCGGTATCACTCGGTACCGGCAGTTCCGAACGTGCCCGTCTCCCCCCATTTTATCACCGGGAGATTACCGGAGCGCTATCTCTGCTGCTCCCGACTAATCCTGCCCTCCGGGAGAGGTAGCGACTTGCTGACGTCACTCTATCAATCCAGCAGCAAGCTGTCCACTACACACGCCCCGAGGCATGGACACAAATCCCCTGGACTGGAGACTCTGCACACACACACACACACACACACACACACACACACACACACCCACACACACACACACACACACACACAAACACACACACACAACACACACACACACACACACACACACACACACACACACACACACACACACACACACACACACACACACACACACACACACACACACACACACACACACACACACACACACAACACACACACACACACCCCACACACACCACACCACACACCCACACACACACCACACACACACACACACCACCTGATTTTTGTTCTGTCACCAAAAATAGGCCTCAGTGACAACTTGACGCTTCATATTATAAGAGGAAGAAAGTAAATGACCTTGCATAAAAAGAAGGAAGTGTTCACATTTCACAGCAGTACAGAGAACTAATTCAAAGCACAGAAGTATTTAATAACATTATTGATGCCTGCATTCCACTTAGGGAAGATTCTTGCTGCACACTGCAATATTACACTTCAACATGCCATCAATAAAGTTATCACTTTCAATTCTGCTTTTCAAGGAGAAGTTGAAGTGTGCTGGGAAAAATGTCTATTATCATCAAACAGTAGATAGAAATTGTCAAATTCATCCAAATATCTGGATGATCATACTGATGTTCAGAGAATGTTAACGCATGTTTTAGCAATTGTGTACAACAACTAGTGGCTTATTATTATTTAATAGGGCACCAAACATCTTTAGTCAATATAACAAAAAACACAGATTAAAAAAAAGACAATAAAGAACACAAGACACACAGTACAAAGCTACACAAATACATGAATTATACATCAAAAATGTATTCCTGTCAGATAAAAGCAAGTCATAAAGACCATAAGATAACATATAAAGTATAAAGAAACATATTTACAGTGCTGTAAATTCAAAGGTCATCCCTTGTTTTGTGTTTTGCGAATTGAGGGACCATTTACAAAGGATTGGGGCATATTGAAGCCCCTTCAGGTGTATAACTAATAGTCGTCTTTTATCAACTAAATGCAGTCTAACAGTATAAATGGAGTGCTGGTTTGTGTGATACTGTTTTGGCAGCATGTTTAATAAAGTTATCTTGAACTAATTCACCTAAACTTGGGCCATTGTGTGGGTAAACCTCACTTAAACTGTGTGTGTGTGTGTGTGTGTGTGTGTGTGTGTGTGTGTGTGTGTGTGTGTGTGTGTGTGTGTGTGTGTGTGTGTGTGTGTGTGTGTGTCTGCCGTCTCAACCTAAGCAATTGCTAATTAACACTGGGGAAGGCATTGAGCGGCTTTTGGGCCTCTCGGACCACTTACTGTAACTCTGTGCCACCCAGCCAATCTATTCAGCAAACTGCTTCCTTCTTAAATAGGATCCAGCTATTGAGATTAATGCTGTGTGCAGGTATTTGCGCCCCTATTTAAAGCATTTATTGATCAGTGCGTCTCTGGAACTCTGTGAAAGTACATCGCCAGCATTCTGACCAACACCACCCCTCCCTGACACACACACACACATCAGGAGGAACCCTCACCCTCAGCCCCTCGAGACTCCCCCAAGTGCTGTGGTCTGCAGGTATTGGAGCACTATTATTAGCTTTGTTTGCTTCAAACACACTTTCACATCAATTCTATATGCAGGAGCTCGACTACACAAGGTTTGCACTTACTTGTTTAACTTTAAAAAGGTATAGAATGGGCCCAAACTCACTCTTTTGAATATTAAACACTATAATAAGGTTGATAGTTTAGTAAAAGATGGGAATTTAGTAGCTGTGGTAATATTAACTTTAGTCGGCAATGAGCAATTTTCACTGCAGAGAAACAGTAAAACATCAACAGAGACTCCTCAAACCAAACCCGCATAATCGTCTTCTCTGCTGTAAACTCCAAGGTGTAAAAAACAATCGTCACTTTGTCGATATATCTCTAAACACAGGCAGGCAGTGCTTTGGAGTCAAAAATCTCATACTTTTGGCAAAATACACGAGCTGTGTTTGAGACTTGACTGGACTCAGATTTAAAGCTGAACTACTCAAGATTTTCACATCTAAATTTACTGTAGGTCCCGCCCGTAGTGAAACACCCCACACCATAAACCTTAAAAAGCAGTGTAGGAGTGTTTATGTGTGTCATTTACCTCATTTATGTGCACTGATTTAATCTCAGAGTCTCTGGCATTGTGTCATGGAGCTGTGTTTCACCGAGGGGGGGAGGGGGGAGGTTCAGCCCCTGCTCTGAGACAGGGGGTGAAGAGCCAGTAATAACCAAAGGCATCTCACTCCTGAAAGTGCAAACAAAAGCTTTGCGAGTTAAAAACCCAATAAATCAGTAATTAATAATCTATTCTTTGGACAAGATATCAGTTTATTACATTCATAAGACAAAGGCTGCACTCAAGCAACAAATGGAGGACACTTTATAAATAAAGCAAATACATTTCCTCTAAAAATGCATTTATCCTTAATGTAATGCAAAGATATTCAACTGTCAACCATAAACATTCGAAGCATTTGAATAACTTTAATGTTCTTGGAGAGAATGTTTTTGAAAAAACTTGATCGAACATCCCTAAAAATCAATGTAAAAGAGGTCACTCAGTGAAAACACACACAATTATCCACCAAAAACTGCAGTTCCCCTCAACTCTACACAGTACTACTGGTTGAACATAGTGGGACATTTAGCAGCTAAAGAGCCAGATATTTGTGTCAGGAGTTAATGGCTACAAAGAGAGAGCAAGAAGGATATATAAAACAGAAACAAAAAATCCAAGGGAATAATAATGTGGCTCCACTTTGATGAATTTATAAATATGCAACTGATTCTCAACATACAAGACCAATACATGAAACCAGACAGGAAAGTGAAAACAACTTTTCAGCCTGGTATCACAGTACCTGTACTTGCACTGGCTTGCTTAAATCTTGACTGAAAGAAATCCCTAAAAAATAAAGACAACAAGCATAAATAGACTGTGAATATGACATTTTAAAGGCATATCATTTAGTTTTCTAAAACCGTCTTATTCGTTGTTTGCCCCTCATGACTTGTCTTCTGTTTTAATGCTGTGTGAGACA